ATATATATAAATCAACTTATTTTCATGGGAAATCTTCCTTCTCCATTTGACACACCTGTATAGAAGGTATTATGGTGAGAAGAGCTAGCATGTCAACTAAAGAAATGCATGCTGTGATTTCAAAATTCAAATATAGCTGAGAGAGGCTTTGAATATTGTTGATGACTACATTCAACTCACATCAAATACATTTAAAAAAAAGACAAGGAATTTTTCAAACAATTCACTTTATTTTCACTTAGGACAAATAATGTTAAGATAATTATGTTTGTAAAATTCAATTACAACTCATCCTTGTCATTCTGAGAGTCTGACATGGAAAGCGTTTGGGGATCCATTTTGAGGTCATCTTTGGAACTCTCTTTGTCCAACTGTTCAACTTTTGTTTTGAGTGTTTGTTCTCCACCTACATTCGAAGGTTGACTTCCATCTTCCTTGACCTCAGCTATTTTTTCAGTTTGTATGCTGTTAATTTGCTCAACATCTGGAGCCTCTCCTTGACTTACTTTTGCCTTGTCAGTCTCGCTGGTTCGTTCTGTCATCACGGGATCGTGGTCTGAACTGCCCAATGCCTCTTTTGAGTCGAATCCTGGCATCAAAGTGGTGGAGAACATCTCCAACATACTCTGAGCTTGGATTCTTTCCTACAAAGCAAAGGGATATATGAAATTAAAGAAGGTAGGGTAATATAAAAATTAACTCATGCCAAAATGTTTTTAAAAAATAAATAATTAAAAAAATAAGGGCTTTGCAACACTGCTCAGAAAGTATCAAATCCCTGGTGGGAGTGACTTCAGTTTGATCAATCACCACTAGAGGGCAGGAGTGGCTTAGATCAGATCTTGGTCCACACATAGCGTGTGTGTGTGTGTGTGTGTGTGTGTGTGTGTGTGTGTGTGTGTGTGTGTGTGTGTGTGTGTGTGTGTGTGTTATACAGTTCGCTATCCCACTTGGCGAGGTGTAGAGGTAAGGTCGGGCCTAAAAACTGGATCAACATTTACATCTTTTATATTTCTGTTTCTGCAGAGGGTACATTAACCGACAATTTTCCATCATTGACAGATTTTTTTTAAGAGTTGACGGGAAAAATTTAAGGCCGTCCGTCATTTTGACGGGTTGAGAATTGGGCCATTAACCACAGTAGCAGTACGTAATTAAGAATCTAGCGCGGCACTTTAAGAGAGAGAAGCAGAGATACAAAGAAGAAGAACTATGACGGGTGGATAATCGACAGTGACAGGAAGGAGTTCTTTGAATTGTCAGTGCAAGAGTTTAGTACAGTACGTGTTGTGATGAGGCGACTTCTGTTTTTTTGCGAACCACGGTCTCTCGTGGCCAAAACTATTCACGGCCTCGAAACGCCTCAGCGCACTAAACATATATTTGTTAAAAAAAATGTCAGTGAGAGAGAAGCCCGGCCCGACCCGAACCCGAAGCAATGATTGACATTGGGCTCGGGCTCGGGCTTAAGATCTTACCTCGAGCGAGGTGGCGTGCAAAAGCAGTGTGGTGGTGAGAACATCAATAAAGTTCAACAGAAAAGTTCATCCAAAGTTCATGCATCAGTGCAGTGTTTTGGAAAGCATTGTTTCGATATTTGAAGAATCAGAAATGCAAAAAAATAGCATCAAGGTAGAAGTTCTGCTTGAAATGCATTCTTTCACAAAAAGCTCTTGAAATTTAGCTTGGAAACAAGTCTTTTCAAGACTTACCAATGTTAAACTGTTGTTTACGAAAGAATGTTAAAAGATAGAAATGTACTTTTTTTTCCTGATGAAAGACGAGGGTTAGAGTTCCATGCTTATATCGCCAAAGAACTCAATTTTCTGTCGGCCTTCATAAATGTGTCAAATGGCCATAAATGGCTGGGGCACCTGCTCTCCCAATTTGAGAAAAATGGCCGGCATTGATAAAAAAATGGAGGCACTGTAGCTAAGTACCTTTTCCTCATGCGCTGGATCCAGGGTGAACCACAGTGCAACAGCACACCTCTGTCCCTTTGTGACAGCTCTCACACCATGTGGGTTTTCCTTTCCTGCTCCAAATCCAACCACACGGCCACACTGTGGACGCAACACTGCCTGAAGAAATCAGAAACGAGTGACAAATGGATACAAGAACATCCAGAAATCAAAGCGTTGTTTAAAGCGAAATTGAATAAATACCGTGACTACTTTGGCATCTAATTCAGTGAAAATAAAATCTCCTCCTTCAAAGTCATCATTCAGGTAAAGTATTGCACTGTAAAGACAAATGAAATTCTAAGACTGATTTGTACACATTAGAAAATGCAAGCAGGCAATTTGCAATTGGAAAACCTCCCACCTGAAATCTCGATGTGTGTATGCAGGCGGTTCCTTAAAACACTCATTGAGCTCCGAAACTAGCAGACAGTTGTCAACATGAACGGAGTGACTCAGATCACTACGTGTTTCTTGCTTCCCTGAATAACAAAACCAGAACACAAGTGTTATTGTGTGGCTTTTCATATTCAACTTAACTTTGACCAGTCAAAACAATCTGAACAGAGCACAAAAGAGAAAGGAAATGTGTGTTTGGTGGATGACATGGGGAATACAAATATTATTGAGTTAGGTCTGAGAGCTGTTTAAAACTAACTTTTGGCTGCAGAATCCAAAGCTGACCCCTGGAGGGCTGCTGTCCTGCCTATTTTCCATCTCTCCCGGCTGCAACACACCTGATTAAAATGATCTGCTCATCAGCCGGCTCTGACGGAGCATTAGAACGATCCTGACTATTTGATGACTTCATGCTTTTCTGGAATGCATCATATGACCTGAAGTGCCAGGATGTGGCAGCCATTTTGCACACAACAGCAGGTAGCAAAATAGCTCGTGTTGTTTCGGAGGTCATGTTTGTATGAATTTGTGAAAGTGTCTTTTTTTACTATTACTACAAAATGTAAAGGAAAGAGAGTTATGAGTTTAATGACGAGTTGGAATCCTCGCGGGCGGCCTGGTGGTCGACCCGTTAGCGTTAGTGTGTCAACCTCACAGTGCAGAGGTGCAGGGTTGGATTCTGGCTCCGGCCTCCATGTGTGGAGTTTGCATGTTCTCGCCGTGCCTGCATGGGTTTTCTCCGGGTACTCCGGTTTCCTCCCACATTTCCAAAAACATGCATAGCAGGTTAATGGACCACTCGAAATTGTCCCTCGGTGTGAGTGAGCGCGGATGGTTGTTTGTCTTTGTGTACCCTGTGATTGGCTGTCAACCGGTTCAGGGTGTCCCCCGCCTACTGCCCAAAGACAGCTAGGATAGGCTTCAGCACCCCTGCGACCCTCGTGAGGATAAAGCGGATCGGAAAACAAATAGATAGCTGTTCTCACTGTATCTGCTCCCATTGGGTTCCATCTTAAGGAAGCATGGCATTTCCTTCCACTGCTATGCAGATGACTATCAGATCTATGTCCCACTGAGCAAAAAAGACGCTCTTTCATTAAGGCCACTTTTATCCTGCCTGGAAGACATCAAAACATGGATGGCACAAAATTTCTTGAATTTCAATGAAAAGAAGACAGAGGTGATACTGTTTGGTCCCAGTGGCCCTTGTACATCCCATCCTGTAGACTTGGGCCCCCTGTCTGCTTATCTTAAGTCAACAGTCTCAAACTTGGGTCTTAAACTGGACAGTGATTTTAAACTTGACCGGCAAATTGGTGCCGTTGTTAAATCCAGCTTCTTTCATCTCAGCCAGCTGGCCAAAGTAAAACCTCTCCTCTCTCAAGAACACTTTGAGACAGTAATTCATGCCTTCGTCACATCCCGGCTCGATTACTGCATTGCCCTTTACTTTGGAGTCAGCCAATCTTCCATCAAGCATCTCCAGCTGGTCCAGAATGCTGCTGCTCGCCTCTTGACTGGTACTCGTAAGAGGGAGCGCATAAGTCCTACTCTGGCATCCCTTCACTGGCTCCCCATACATTTTAGAGTTCTTTTAAAGATCCTATTATTTGTTTTCAAATCTCTAAATGACCTCGCGCCATTCTTACCTCTCTGAGTTCATCCGCCCCTACACACCTGTCCGGCGCCTCAGGTCTGTGGACCAGACATTATTAGAAGTACCAAGAACTAAACGGAGGCTCAGAGGGGATCGAGCCTTTTCCGTTGCTGGTCCCTCTCTCTGGAATGACTTCCCACTGAACATTCGGCAAGCCTCCTCGCTGCCCATCTTCAAAACCCCCCTCAAAACTCACTTGTATTCTTTGGCATTTGACTCAGCATGACCCAAATTATGATCTTAGTTATACTGTTTGGTGCTCTCTACCGTCTTTGTTACTAATTTGTTGCTTTACTGTTGTATATGTTAGTTGCTCCATATACAGCACATTGTGTGCAGCGATGGCTGTTTGAAAGTGCTCTACAAATACAGTTGAGAGTTGAGATAGATGGATAGACAGATAGATAGATAAAACATGCATTGCAGGCTGAACAATCTAAATAGTCGCTCGTGTGAGAGTGCATGTTTTTGGAATGTGGGAGGAAACCAGAGTACCCAGAGAAAACCCACGCTGGCCCAGGGAGAACACGCAAACTTCACACATGGAGGCCGCAGCCGGTATTGAACCCACGACCTCTGCACTGTGAGGTTGACGCGCTAACCACTGGACCACTGGGTCACCCACCATAGCATTTTATTTTATTTTATTTTTTTAAGAATCAGAATCAGAATTTTTTTTTTTTTGGCCAAGTATGTAGAACACACAAAGAATTTGTCTCTGGCAGTACAGGCTACACTAGTATTGTAATAACAAGCAACTACAATAAACAAGGACATGACATCCAAGTATCGTAAGATTTTCCGTAATGTAAGAGTATAATTATGCAGTAATATGACCCAATGACAGCTGTGCGACAATGTGCAGAGTCACCAAGCAGAGCTATAGTATTTTATTGCGCCACTGATCACTTTAACGGTTGTGCATTTAGTGCAGATAATCGTTGCAATGTTTTTTTAGTGACCAGTAGCAGTAATTGTGGTACCACTTTAGTTGTGCAATTATACAGAAAGCCCTTAAGCGTTTTAAAGTGTCTGGTGCTGTGGAATATTGATCAATGACAATTGTTTGAGTATGTACAGAGTGGAACGACAATGATCACTGCGGTAATACTGTTCCACACGGGTGTGCAAAAATGCAAAGAGCCACTCTTGCCAATGAAGGGATGAGTGAACTACATTTATTCAGCGCATTGCAGGAAGGTTTGATCTACATTTTATTTTTAGGCTCTCATGTCACATTTTGGATGATACTTTCTAAGAACCATCACCCATATACAAGTCTGCACATATGGACGCAAAAACAAATGGATGATAAATTCTCTATTTTACTCACCGTCAATAGCGGATCGACACACCAGATGTGAATAGGAGAAGTAGAGCGGGGAACTCAAGCTAAAGTATGACTCCAAAACCTTCTTCACCTTCTCGCTGACATCAAAGAAAAGACGGACAGCCTTCAGTGAAACCTTTCCTTCTTGTGCCAGCTATAGGAGGAACAAAATACATAGAGGGGGGACAAAAGTGACATTTTTTTTTTTTTTTTGTGTGCTGTTAATGTTTTTGTTACCTTACACTATAACACTTGAAGACAGCCAAGAATATAAAAGATCAGAATAAGACAACCTTGCCTTTGCATGGCACCGGGTAAAAAAGTTCAAGTACCAAAAATGCTTCTTGCTTCAATTTTTTTTTTTTAATATAACAACTGTGATGTCTAGTTTACTGTTTACAGACCTTCAGAGCCTTAAGAATTGTGACTCCCTGAAACATTTCCTTAGTAGAATGGGGAGAAGGATGCCCCCGGTAGCCATCACCTCCAAGGGCAGCTGCCTACACATAAGACAAAAAATAAACAAAGTGAAATGATGAGGTGGAAAGCACGCAGATAATATACAGTAAGGCTCGACATGTTTTTTTCTTTGCGGAACAGTTTTGCAAATCAATGACTTCAATTGAGGAGCCACTTTTTAATTTGCGGTTTCCGTGGAGGGCACTGTTCGACTGGGAGTGCATATCTTCAGAGAGCAGCGCTGCTCTTCTTGTTGTTGTGGATGACCATGTAATTTGCCGGAACCTTTGTTGAAGTCGTTCTCCTTTCCCTTTGCCGTATGGAGTGTCTGCCTTCGCCTCCATACATTCCTTGATCATTCCGGAGCCAGTAAAAGGCTTTTTGTGTTTGCTCAAGATCCACTTAATGGGTAGTGAGTGCTCATAGGGTCGGCGTCGTGCTGTCAGCAATGTAGCACGCACACACTATCGTTTCATTTCACAAATTTTCCTCCACCTCGTAGGTGATCCTGGCAGGTAATTTGTGTCAAAGGTTTTGTTTCTAGTCTCAAAATGCCGCTTGATACTTGCACTTTTATCACGCGCATCAGACTGTGAACAAACAACACACATGGGCCTCGTAGCACTCGATGCCGGCAAAATCGAAGCAGTCGGCTCAGTTCACTTATCTTGAAAGGCACAGTTATTGGAGTCTACGTTTCTGACTTTGGACACCATACTTTATGTTTGTCGTGGGAAGGTGAGTACCCCAGGAAACAAATGAAAACTTCGTACGCTTTGTCAAAGGAACCCGGTTCAGGCATAGGTGTCCTCACATGTGCCTATTCCAAATCGTCGAGTGGTAAAAACTTAAGATAT